TCAGCAGGATTCATATGAATGCAGCTCTTAACCAACTCATGTGGTTGTCCACTTGTGTACTGCAACAGAAAATGTAGTCGATCTGAATTATCTTCAGTACGATTTTCTATTCCGTGCTCAATTGCCCTGATAAAGCAGTTATATTGAAGCGGATCTCCTTCAAAGGTGGGAATGGCAACACCCGGTAGTAATGAGGCCTTATGAGTCTTTACTAAATAGTCTGTGACATTAACTTGCTGAGTCATAACTTTACAAAAACCATCAAACACTGACCCATTGGTGGTGACTACGTTCTGTACGGGTGAGGTCTGTTGAGGCATCGGTAATTGCATACGTTGTCCTTCCGTAGAAGGAAGCGGGACATACTGCAAGGTTGGCTGAAACATAGTTTCCATTTTAATCTGTTCACCTGACGTATCGTCTTTACAAGTGCTCTTGTTGGATTGTACATCATTCAGCATTATCAATACATGCATTTTTACATCTAAGAGAATAAACAATGAACTTGAATAGTTTATGTTATGAATATTGCTCCCACTTATTTAATGTGAATCAGATAAATTAAAGCTTCACCTATGAACTTAAATTACTGAAGTCAACCAAAACGCAAATTACATTTAGGCTCCTACAGGCACTATTTTTATCATGAAAGTCACCTTGTCCATTTAAAATTTTTAGATTATTCAAAAATAAAAGGTAATACATGGAAATATGTTTCAAAAACTACACTGTTGATCAGGGACCATCTTCAATGCCTTTGTGGACCACTGGTTGAAACCCCCTGTTATAAATTAACTGATAAAAGATGTTGATGGTATCAAACATCAGAAGAATATCTGAGAGATCCACTCTCGGATATTCATCCTTACTATTGAACTGATGAATTCTACACAGTCTGCCCATCCTGTAATTAACACTGTTGCTTTTCTCTGTCGTTTCTTTCTCCCCCAGTGAGCAGAGCATCTGCCAGGCACGGGCCTCCGTCATGGTTTACGATGACACCAGTAAAAAATGGGTCCCCATCAAGCCTGGGCAGCAAGGATTCAGCCGCATCAACATCTACCACAACACTGCCAACAACACCTTCAGAGTGGTGGGTGTTAAACTGCAGGACCAGCAGGTAACGTCAATGACACACATCCTGCAGCATGAGAAAAGTCAAGACAAGGGTGTTACTAATTTCAGCCAGTTGAGAGAGAGATAATATTGTTCTGTAGGAGGATTGCAACACACAGAGCTGTCAGGCTATTTTAGGTTGTTAATGTGCGTAGTAAGATCAAATAGCTGTTGCCACTGAAAGAAAGTGTGTGTGTGTGTGCGCATGAACCCTAGTGTCATCATTAACGGTCTCTAGTGTGTTAATTCCTCTCTGCTGTGACTTGACTGACATCCTCTTCCCGACTGTCAGTCTCTCCAAGGGCGACATCTCATTAGCACTCAGCTGTCTTCTGTATGTGTGTGGTAATAAGACACACAACGCAATCAAAAACTAAATCAAAGTGACAACTACAAATGTGGTTGGAAATAATGGAAAACATACACTACCAGTCAAAGGTTTGGACACGTATCTTCTCAGATGATTTCATTAACTAACACTCTCCCTCGTAGTGATACAGACAGGTTCATCACTGAGCAAAAAAGTGGACAGCATTTTATATCATCAGTTTATTCACTTCTCTGTTCTTCACTGAATGAGTTCCCAATATTTCCCATAAATGAGAAGTGGATGTGTGTAATGAATTTACAGAAGATGATGGACTACACATTTGAGCTAACAAACCAAATTTTATATAGGTTACATATAACCCCTGTTATTTAACATAAAATATGTCATACCTTTTCCTCTTTATGCGATAAATGTCAGTCTAATAGGGGAACATACTTTCATTGTTTTGGGGAATGCAAATTTATATCCAGATTTTAGACACAGTACAGTCAGTATGGAAAGTATTCAGACCCTTTCAAGATTTTTTTATGTTTTGTTATGTTTCAGACTCATCTTAAGATGGATTCAGTTAAATTGTTCCTCATCAGTCTACACACAATACTCCACAATGATAAAGTGAAAATATGTTTTTTGAGTCTTTTGTAAAATTATTAACAGTAAAAGACTGAAAAATCCCATTTACATAAGTATTCAGACCCTTTGTTATGACACTTGCAATTGAGCTCTGGTACATCCAACACCTATTAATAGTGGTTGCGATGCTTCTACAGCTTGATTAGAGTCCTTCTGTGCCTAAATTTACTATTTTGACACAATTAGGAAAGACACACATCTGTCTGTATAAGGTCTCACAGTTGATGGTGTGCGTCAGAGTGAAAACAAAGCCATGAGGTCGAGAAAACAGTCCACAGACCTGTGAGACAGGATTGTATCAAGACACAGATCTATGGCTGGATACAAGAAAATGTCTGCAGCATTGAAAGTGTCCAAGAGCACGGTGGCCTCTAAGCAATGAGCACATTACACATATTGCTACAATGTGACTAGAAAATATTTGAAAACAGATCTCACCATTATATTTCCCTGAAATGTCAGTGATATCATAGCAAAGTTTTAAATGAGACAGAAATGATCATATTTTAGCCCTGCGATGGATTGGCGACCTGTCCAGGGTGTACCCCACCTTCGCCCGATTGCCGGCCGGGATTGGCTCCGGCCCCACCCGTGACCCCGCTCAGGGATTAAGCGGTAGAAAATGAATGAATGAATGAATGATCATATTTTAAAAGAAAAATAATCATTAAAACAATCAAAACCTTCCTCATCTAACCACTATCTAAAAAAGCTGATGTAGTATAAAATGACAAAACAGATCAAAATGAAAATATAAAATACTCTTTTATACTGAAAATGTTTTTTTTAAAATGACCTTTGTCCTATGAAAAAAGTAAAGTATTCTGACTTACTGTTAACGTGTTCTCCACAAAGAAGCAGGACTGAAAATGTCTCTGTTCCCTTCCTCCTCCCTCACAGGTGGTTATCAACTACTCCATAGTGAAGGGCCTCAAGTACAACCAGGCAACCCCAACGTTCCACCAGTGGCGAGACGCCAGGCAGGTCTATGGCCTTAACTTTGCCAGCAAAGAGGAGGCTACCACCTTCTCCAATGCCATGCTCTTTGCCCTCAACGTCCTCAGTGCTCAGGATGGAGGTGTGTTTTCCATTGGTGCATTAAACACACATTTCCTACAAAACTATGTACATATAAAAATGCTTAGGAAGCCTATTATGGACAATTAATTACCTGAAGCTCCACCTTAACTCCCTTGTAGAGGATTGGAGGCTCCCAGCACTCATATGGTTAACTCAAAAAGCAGGTTGAACCAGGTACCAAGCTCAATGATGAATTTGATGTGACACCTGCAGGTGGTCGACAGACCAAGACATCATTTTTGAGATCAGTGGAACGGACCTATTATTAATGTTGTTAGTTCCACCTGTTAAAATGTCTGCTGTGAAAAAAATGTCTATTTAAAGACTTCTTATAGGGGCAAGTATAAATGCAAGACAGGTAACTGTATCCCCTTCAGCCCTGTGTGTCCACAAGTATGTGTATACATATATGTGTCAAAACGAGAGTGACAGACAAATATAAATTTGGGAGTGTGTCTACCCCTCCAGCCCCCTCCAGCCTCTTAATTAGAATGAGTCATTGAGAAGCTCTCTCTCTCGGGTCCCGTGCTAGAGAGCAGATCATTTCATCTACTTAATAACGTGGGACTGGGAACAAAGAGGCTCGAGTGACAGCAGCCAAACACAAGTGCACGATTACACAAGGGAAGGATACACACGCTGGACAGACCGATAGCTTCAGCTTGCTACTATTCAGCAGTGACACCAACTGCATGAAAAGATACAATCAGTGTAGATAGATGTCACACACACTGTGTTTCTTGTTCATATATGTGTGTGATGAGAGAGAGAAACAAAGAGGAAAAGAATGAATGTATGTTGGGGATTTCACCACGTCCACGTGATAATGGAAGACACGGTCCACCTTGGAAGGCAAAAATCAATCTAAGCAGGTGGCTCTGCGCCCCCTGTTGGTAAGGAGGCCACAACCTGACCTTTTGTCTTCAGTATTATTCTCACATTGGAGAACAGATTAAATACTGTAGACTGTGGTAGAATTAATTGGCAATAATGTCTCAAAAGACCAGTGTTTAGTATCGATGGGCAATTGGATCATGTCTATTTTCATACTGACCTTCTGTCTTTCTTGCTTGTCCACCTCAGTTCAGAGGTAAGACCCATATAAAATGCTGCTCCAGCCCTGAAATAATGAACCAATTAATGTTTGAAGATCATCACATAAAGAAAACATTAAGACTTCACGTTTGATGATTTTTCAAGTCATTAATTTAGTAAATCTACCAGAAATGCTGCTTACAGCTTCACAGACGTTAAACATGACTTTTTGATTTCTATTTTAATATGATTTTAGGTTAAGTAAGCATTTTATTTGTGTTTAAATAACATGTAATGGGAACATACAGCAAGTCTTTATTTTTTACCTTTTATTGAGCAAATGATTCACTGACTTATAAAGAAACAGTATAGGATTGAAAGTTGATTTTTGACCTTGGAAAGTGTTCACAAAAATCTCACTACAAGGTCCATTTAGAAGCTGTTGTGGAACCTTCTATCATGCCACACAATCCTCCTCAACAAATGACATTTGCCCAGTTATCTGGAAAATGTAGGTCTGTAAAATTCTCTGAACACTTCATGAACTTTTGTCCATATAAAAAAATTCAAAGTTCATCCCTGATGTGGGTAGAAGGAGACAGACATCTCAAATCTAATGATGTACTGAAATTGTGAATAATTCTTAGCTGCGAGTCAAACCCTGACTGTTCAGTAAACACATTAGCTTTTTGACTGATATTTTAATATGAAGCTTGTTGGACAACCGGTATTTATGAGTCTCAGCACGAACCAGGGGTGCATCTGAATCAGCTCGCTGTTTTATTTGTGCATGTAAATGGCATTAGGCTGTGCAGCTGACAGACAAACACTGGCTTTTGAAACATTAACCAGAGATGCTTGCTGCGCTGCTGCTGCCTGGAGGTGTGAGTTGCAAGAAAATGATAGATGATACTGTGGCTGGGTGGGGGAGTGGAAAAGGCAGGCAGGTGAGCAGCGAGAGATAGAAAGGGAGGTTATGGAGGAGAAGAAGGAGGAGGAGGAAGGGTAGCTGAAGGTGAGAGATGGTCAGCAGGGAGTGGGTTTGTCAGTGCCTCTGTGTCTGCTACAACCGGTTCATCTTCTTCACCATGTCATGTAGGTATTAAAGCTGATTGTGTGTGTGTGTGTGTGTGTGTGTGTGTGTGTGTCTGAACGTCTGCAGGATGCTCGAGTTTTAAACTAAACATGTGACTCACCAGATATCAGTTAGTGCTACTGTCAGCTGTTATAATTAGATGGTATAAGTGAAGCCCAAAGTCACTCTTAAGTCAGCAGTCATAATAAAGGACTGTTAAAGTCATGCTGCTTTGCTCAAATACATGTACATACAGGACAATTTCAGAGTCCCTGAGCTCTAAAGGAGACTGTTGCTGATGTGCTTTTTTGTGACTTTCAAAAAGATGCAAGGTCAAGAGTTCATAGTTTGTTCTGCGGGACAGTTTCAGCAATCGCAAAGTTCCTGTTCACTTGTCCAGTTTCAGCTTCTCAAAATCCAGGAGCATCTGCACAATAATAGATTTCAAATGTGATAAGTTACACTAGTTGATTAAAAGAATAGTTGTACAGAAACAATTCATAAGTTAATCAGCAAACATTTTCCTAATTGAGAAAATTCTACTTTGTTGTTGGACAAAACATGTGATTTGAGGATGTTACCTTGGACTCTGAGAATGCCTGTTTTCCTCTAACACTCCAGACCCAGTGTCCATTTTAATAATGGACATCAATATTTATTGGTCTCAACCAATTAAAATTCATAGCTTTAAAATATAACATTGACCTAGTATTAGATAGACAAATTACAAATCAACTTCAAATTTTAGCATATCATTTGCCGAGACGTGACAACAGAGCTGTGTGGCAAACAGCCAAAGCAGCCTGTTTTAGATGTAGCCTAATTTCTACTTGGGAGAAAAGAACAAAAAAACAAAATATGAGTGGGAAAAATTCAAGTAATCAATTATAAAAATAAATATCCTTTGCAGTTTTAAGTGGTTTAGGGCATTGAAGTTGTAAGGTGTTTGCATGTCTGTGGTCAAACGTGTGTGTTTGTGTGTACAAGACGATGCCTGATAGTAGGCATGAGTCAGGTCTTTTGTAGACAGGTGTTATTTCTGTGCTTCTGTCACTTGATCAGTGGTGACCATTTGCACCATTGGCTTGCCAGGGAGTCACTTCCATTAGAGACGTGAGCAGTGGAGACTGCTGACCCTGAAAAAGGCCTGACTGTGTCTAGCTGTAAAACTGTTATGTAGGAGACACCTTTCATTAGACAGCAAGGTTACAGGGTCTTTGGAAGTCAATCCAAATTAAGGTTTTCATTTTGTATGAACTGAGAACAGTCCTTCAATAGAAATTATGACCCACCCCCCCAAA